ATTATAAATTATTGATTAGGTAGTCGTAAACAATTAATGTTAAATTTTGCTAGTAATATATGATTGGTTGTTTAACTATTATATATATGAAGTTATAGTTGCACAATATTAAAATAATAGTTGTAACTAATAAGATAGTTATATACAATTAGTATTAAACTTATAATTCATGATTAGTTTAATTATTGAATATGTGAAGTTAAAGTTATAAAAAGCTGAAATTATAGATGTAATTATTATTAAATATTAGTTGTAAATTATTTAATTGATGTAATGTATTTTTAATAGAGGCATTATTATCTTTGCCACTTTAATTTTAAATTACACTCAGGTCTCTAGAAAATTTATTGTAGTTTTTAAATTTTGTAAGATTATTTATAAATAAGTTTGTTTCGCCGGACCTACATATATATATTGGTTAATTAATTGCATCCATGTTCCAACACACACGAATGAATGAATGAATGTATTTCATAAAATTTAGTCTTCTTTTCCCATGAGTTAATACCCGGTGGTAATTATGAGAGCTTTCTTTTCATAGTAGTACCACCTTCCAGACGGTGCTTTATACTTTTCTTTCTTTCATGAAGAAAAATTGTATATTCCAAATTATGGTAAGGAGTGCAAAGAAAAGAATCTCAACAAGTGACATATTAGCAAAGAATCATGTTTGAGTGGCTTATGCTGTACTTTTACTTAATTAGGAGATGAAAAACTTGTGCCTTTCCAGAGGCAAAATGAAAAATAAAAAGAGAAAGAAAAAGAATAATGTTTGAATAGCTCATACTCTTGTGAGATTCTTGCTTCCATATATAGATAGTTAAATACATTAAAAAAAAAGAACTTTTTAGTGATAACTTTTAATTGTGACAAAAAAAGCCTTTAGTGACAATAATTAGAAGTCGCTATTAAAAATAAACTTTTGTGTTGTCACTAAAAGTCACGGCCAAAAGTTTTTTTTCGAAACGGTTGCTATCAAGGGGCCCCTTTTAGCAACAATATCTAATTGTTGTCACTAAAAATTACTTTTAGTAGTGGCAAACCATCACCACCCAAAAGTAATTTCAGAAAAAATAAGGAAAAAATTGGAAAATAGTTTATATAATTACTTTAGTGGCGACAATTTATTTTCATTAAAAAATAATTAAAAATTAAAAATAATTTGGTAATTATTTTAGGGGTAACAACAGTTGCTGCCAAAAAGTATTTTTACAAATAAATAATTAAAAGTTAAAAATAATTTATGTAGTTACTTTTTAGAGGTGACAACTTGTGGTGGCTAAAAGTATTTTTATAAAAAATAATTAAAATAATTAAAATAATTTACATAGTTGCTTTAGTGGTGATATTTTTTCATCATCAAAAGTATTTTAAAAACTAATTAAAAAAATTAAAAATAATTTATGTCATTACTTTTAGTAGTGACATTTGGTTGCCACCAAAAGTATTTTCATAAAAATTAATTAAAAATTAAAAATTTATGTAATGCTTTTAGGGGTGACCAAACTATTACTGCCATAAGTATTTTTTATAAAAAAGTAATTAAAAAAATAAAAACAATTTATGTAACTAAATTTGTCGCCGCCAAAATTATTTTCATAAAAAAATAATTTATGTAATTACTTTTTACTTACAACAGGGGTCATTGCCAAATGTATTTTCAAAAAAATAATTAAAAAACTAAAAATATTTTTATTAATACTTTTATGGCAAAATTTGTTGCCCCTAAAAATATTTACATATAGAATAAGAAATAAATAACATGGAATGTTAAAATTATACATAAACATTCGAATGTTAAATTTTAATTTATAGATGTTGTAAGATGCAAATGATATTGCAAACTACTTGACACATTACATACTTAATACTTGACTTGATATACAAATAGTGTCTATTTTGTTACTGAACTCTACTTTTACTACCACATGATTATTTAAATAAGAAGCTTCATATTGATGGTATTTAAAATAAGCAACAAATAAATTATGTGAAGAATATTTAACGGTTTTTTAAATTATGGACAAAAATTATGTATAAACTTATTAAAGTTTATTTATTTTAAATTGTAATTTATGGGAAAGTTTCCCTATTAACTTTAGATTAAATTTGTTAAAAAGACTTAATAAAAAGCTAAACTAATTTATATTGAGTCAAGATAAGATTCCTTCTATTTTAATTAAGAAATATCCACTTAGATTTTAATTTAGAGTTTTTTTTGTCTAGCATCTACTTTGGCTTATCGCATGTCCATCTATTTTCTATCTTAAAGGTAATAAAAAAAATAATTGTTGAAAATGACTAGAAAAAAAAATTTATATGATTAAAATAAAGTTTAGTAAAATATTTTTAAGATAATTGAAAAATTATAGATAACATTTATTTTTAATAAAGAAGGGGAAGCATTTAACTTGCGAGAAGATAAAGGTTAAAATTTATTTTTAATTTTTGAGAAAAATATGAAAAAAATAAAAGATATTTAACGTAAACTAATATAAGACATACTTATAAATAAATTATATACTAATTATTTTATTTTAAAATAAAAATAAAATTTAAAAATTGGTAAAAATGTTTATAAGAAAATTATTTAATATTTAAAAATTATTTCATTTTAAGTTCATTTTTCTAAAAAAAAATATTTATTTTAAAAATATAATAATATATATATAACCACCTCATAGAAATTATTTTACATATTAATAATGAAACATAAAATAAAATATATCTATATATATATGTACATATTTTTACTACTATACTATTTTGATATATGTTATGTAGTTAAATAATATATATTTAATTTTACCTATAATAATTACAGGTGCGTTTTAACTCAACTACCAATAAGGAGGACTTAAGGCTTGCTACTAGAAAAATGAAAATTAGCAAGAAAATTTAGTGAGGGATTATCTATTCCTCTCTAAAATACCAAGTTAGCAAGGAAATTAGTGAGAAATGTTGATTTCATAGCTTGACTTAAAATTAGCGAGAGACTGTCAATCCCTCTCTAAAATAAGAGAATTAGTGAGGAAATAGTGAGAGACTATCAATCCCTCTCTGAAATAAGATAATTAGCGAGGAATTTAGTGAGGGATTCTATCCCAAGCTAATTACTACAAAAAAAAATACCTTTTGACAATGACTTTTAATTATACATTTAATTATTTTTATTTAAAAACAATAATTAAATTTAAAAATTAACTAAAATATTCATAATAAAATTATTTAATATTTTATTTAGTTTAAGTTGATTTTCATTAATAAAATAATATTTTATTAAAAATATAATATAAAGAATAATTTAAATAAAATATACATAGATTTTAACATATTAATAATTGAAAATAAAATTTAATATGTATATGTGTGTATTTTATATATATTATTTGATATATTTATGTAGTTAAATAATATATATCATATATATATTTAATTTCTCATATAATGCTTGTAGGTGCCTTTCAGTTCAACTGGTAAAGAAGGAGAGCATAAAGCTTGGAAGGTATGAGGTCAAGGGTTTAAACCTTGGCTTTGGCATAACATGATGAACTATATGATATGATAAAGAGCAAGTGACATGGCACAAGGTGGACAATGACATATCATGAGTTGTCGTACATGTAGTGGGTGATAAGGCACAAGATGGTAGGTGACATAGTAGTTGACAAAGCATGAGGTTGTTAATGACATGTCACAAGTTGACATCACACATAGCGGGTGATGTGGCATAATTATTTTAAATATAAGCATATTTAGCGAGGGATTAGGGAGGAATTCAGTCCCTAGCTAATTTTAGTGAGGGATTGAATCCCTCACTAAATCCTTCACTAATTAGCGAGGGAAATACCTTCCTCACTAAATTTAGCGAGCCTTTTTTTAGTTATGAATTTAGTGAAAGACAAAATTCGTAGCTAAAATGCAATTTAGCTACGAAAAATGGCATTTAGCGAGGAATTCGTCCCTCACTAAATTCAATTTTCTAGTCATGACTTAAGCATATTTCACAATGAATATGTGACATGACATGTGGCGTGATGTGGTAGTGACATAGCATGACTTGGCAAAGTGACGTGGCATGACATGGCACGCACACAGCGAGATGATGTGGCACGAACTGGTACACACGTGGCAGGTGATGTAGCACAAGATATTAGTTAATGTAGCACAAGAGGGCTGATGTGTATATGAGATGGCTCTTTTATTTTTTTTGAAAAAGTTAACTTTTGGTGGCGACAAAAAGTCACTGCTAAAACTCTTTTTTAAAAAGTTGACTTTTTGGTAGTGAGAAAAGGTCATTGTTAAAAGTTGCTGCTAAAATTTTTTAGTAGCGACTTTTCGTCATTGAAGAGTTATCACCAAAAGTCTTTTCACTAATAGTTTTTAGTGGTGACAAACATAGTCACCGCCAAAAATATAATTTAAACTTTTATTGGCAAAAAAATTTTGACGGCGACTATATTTGTTGTTGTCAAAAATTATTAATGACAAGACTTTTGATGGTGAGACTTTAGTGGCGAAAAGTCACTGTTAAAAACATTTAGTGGTGGATCCACCAAAGTATTTTTTTTTTTGTGGTGTCAATTATAAATTTCAGTCCTTCCTATGTGCTCTCTCCAATCATCAACAAAAGTTGCTCAAAATTTTTAAAATCCACGAATAGAGTGCACGTGCATGCTTGATATTGAAACTTTCCTCTCATGCATAATCACGATAAAGTTCAAAATTTTACAATACAAATTTCTAGAACTCTTGTTATGTCATGTATATGGTAAAGGAGAGAAAAGAAAACAATCTCAACAAATGACATTAATTAGAAAAGAAGCAAAGAATATCGGTACAGCAATGAATAGGAGATGAAACTTGTTGCTTTCCTGAGACAAAATGAAAAGAAGAAAGGGGCGAAAAAAAGAATCATGCTTTGAGTGTCTCATACTCTTATGTGATTCTTGCTTCCATATAAAAGCTAAACGATTATCAATTTTAGTTCTTCCATGTAACATTACTTAGCGATTTGCAACTATTCCTTCCTATGTGCTCTCTCCAATCGTCAAAAAGAGGTTAGCGTATAGTAATTCTTGTTCTAAGTGCATATGGTTGATTTGTTTTTCCCCTGTAAAAGCTATACGTAGGTGATATATATAATTTTTTAATCATTCTTCAGCTTTATTTTATTTTATTTTGGAATGAAAATTCTTGAATCCTTTCATCTCTTATTTTCTTATCCACCAATCCCATTTCAGTTTGTTTTATGTTAATTAATTAACACATATTGTCCTCGTTTAACGTCTTTGTTTTTCTTTCTTTTACACTTTTGATCAAATTAACTTTGATTCATTTTTCAATTTTTTGATCTATTGATTATTTGTTTTTGGCGGAACTATACTGAACGAAATATATTGATGATTATTTTTCATTTCAGTTTTTTTTTTTTTTGTGTTCATAGTTTTCATCCTCATATACTGAGAGCAATTCTTTCTTTTGCTGATTTATGTTTTGTAAGTGTGTGTGTGTGTGAACTATTTTAGTTGAAGGGATTGCTCTTATTTATTGCTTACAAACAAATTTCATTTTATTTCATGTTGTTGCATATAAATATCATAATTGAAGACTTGTTGTCAAATAATGAATTTCTGAATGGCAAATAAATATTATCACTTTCAAATCTCATAATTTTTATGCAATTTTTTCTTGGCAGATCAAGTGTCTTCTTGAATTGAGTGAAAATTCCTAATTTTCTTTCCTCTGCGTCCGATTCTTTGTGGAGCACCATTTAGATCTCTTTACTAAAAACGTAAGAGTGTGTGTGTGTGTGTTTTGGTTATATTTTTATTGATATTTTTTTGTACTTATCCATCGCTATATAACAATTTTGCATTTTCAACCTTCTTATGTTAAATTTAGTAGGATTTTTAAGATGTGTTACATTTGATGTGCTGACCTGTTTGACCTATTTAATGAGACAAATGAACTCAACGAATTTAACCCCTCGAGTTTATAAACAATTCAACCGGCCTACTAAGTTATTTGTTTTATATCTCTGAAATTATTATTATTATTCAACTCACACTATCAATTTTCCCCCTATTTTTTGTACAGATTTCTGGATTAGTTACTTTACAATCACTCCAATATTTTCGTATGCCCTACTAATCATTGCCAAAAGATTCATTTAATTTGGCTACTTCAATCTTCACAAGGTAAATTTTCCTGTTTCTCATACACGATTTGTTATTTATATATATGAACCATTTATCTTGTAGTGCTCTTCTTTTTAATTGATTGTTTAGACTTTGTTACCAGTATGGCAAAATGTAGAATTAATTAATTTTAATTAATTTATTATGAACTAACATAAAATAATCAATTACTTGTCCAATTTTATAATTGGTTAAATAATCAGCTTTGTTTTGATAGAACCCCAACTTGCAAAGCACAGTAACTTGCATGAGGTCAGACTAACCAATAAAGGGTACATCTAAATTGTGTGTATAATTGTTTGGAAAATAATCTATAAGTCTTTATAATTTCTTTCAATTTTAAATTATGTCTGTGTAATTTATTTTATATTAATAGAGTTTTTATAGTTTGATTCGTTAAATCCATCTATCCTTGAAGCTTATAACCTCCAAATTTCTCTGTTTTAAAAAAATTGAAATTTAAGTTGTAGGTCCAGGATAGTTTAGACTCAAAACTCATTTTTTATATAATATTTCTTTTTAACATTTAAAAAATATGCAATATTGCTTTTGTCATGAATAAATGTTAACTCTGACCATTAGTTAATAAAATTTATAAATAATGCCTTAAAAAATTATACAAAATGACTCATAAAATTATAGAAAATGATCTATAAGATAACTAATAACTAAAAAATTAATTTACACAAGTATCAAAAAAAATTTGGCCAAAAATATTAAATCAATTCTCATGTAAACTTCACAAGTGTTTTTCTTTTTGGAAAATTAATATTTCATTAATGACCTTAACTTCTAGGGATTAACATATATATATGTATCCAATAAATCCAACTATAGAGGCTTGACTCAAATAAAATAAATTACAAGAACCTAATTAAAAATTGAGAAAAACTATAAAGACTTGAGAATTAACTTTCCCTAATAAGTTTGTATATGTCTTTTGATATCTTAAAGTGATTAAAAATTTGTCACTATCTTCATTTTTGGATTTTATTTTAATCGGTTTTTTCATTAAATCCTAAAAAAAAAAGACTAATACTTTTTTGGTTTAAAACAATATACCCCCACAAGTGATTATATCCTTGTAGTTTTTTGCGTTTGAAATGAGTCCTTATAATTTGATTAATTAAATATATCTGTCCGCACAAGTTAAAATCCACAAATTTCGTCCTTAAAAAACTAAAATTTAAGCAATTTTATATTCTATTAATTGATTAAATAAATTTATAATAAGATATATAATTTTTATAACTCAAACATAATTTACAAAAGTGCTAAACCAATTTTTTCTTTTTTTTAGCCAAAAGTGTTAAATCAAATTTCAAAAGTGTTTTTTTGTAAAATTAATATTTTATTAAAAATTTAAGCTTTTAGGGATTAACAAATCTGATGGACCAAACTATGAGAATTTAATTCAAATAAAATAAACTACAGGACATAATTTAAAATTGACCAAAACTATAAGGATCTTAGGATTAACTTTTTCTAATTATTTTTATGTGACTTTTGATATCTTAAAGTGATTAAAAATTGCCACTATTTTCATGTTTTTGGATTCTGATTTCATTAGTATTTTTCATTAAGTCATACAGAAATTAAGCAAAGATTTCTTTTTTTTTTTTTTTGGCTGTTAGAAAATATGCCCGCCCGCATGTGGGGACAAATACAATTAAGTAAATCTCTCATTGGAAACTAATAAAGTCAGTATTGCATATTTAAAGTTGATGCTTCTTACACAAATAAAGCATTTTAAAACTTTCTTCTCGTTTCTTTTAATTTTTAAATGGCACCCAATAATTCCAATTAGTTTCTCTTCATGGAACATCACATTTTCCTCCATTTTTTTTTGTTTTTTGGATTGGATACTTTACTATTTAATTTGTCTACTTCAATCTTCGCAAGGTAAATTTTCCTATTTCTAATACATGATTTGTTTTATTTTTATATTTATGAACCATTTATCTTGTAGTCTTCTTTTAAATTGATTGTTTAGACTTTGTTAAGAGTAGGCATAAATTGATTCATTACTTGTCCAATTTTGGACTTAATTAAATAATCATCTTTTTTTTTTTTATATATAGAACCCCAACTTGTAATGCATAGTAAGCTGTCCCAGGACACTAACTAATAAAGGATAAATCAAATTGTGTGTATAATTATTTGAGAAAATTAATCTACAATTCCTTAGATATAATTCCTCTCAATTTTAAATTAAGTCTTTGTAGTTTATTTTGTTTGAATTGAGTTCTGAAGATTGGGCTTCTTTCATTCTATTTTATTTTGATGTTCTTAAAATAATTCTATAGAGTAATGTTTTAGAACAATTTTACGAAACAAAAAAAATTAATAAAATCTGTTTGAATCATTAATATGAAAAACATATCTAATGTGGTGAAATAAAGAATGAAAGAATTATTTTCTTATTAACATAATTGTCATAAAGGAAAACATGATATTTTCTATCTTTTCTCTTATTTTAATTTAATTTGCAGCAAGCAAAATAACAAAACATTTAAAAAAAGTTATGATTTTTTAATTTTTCAGAACAACTGTTATATATTTTGTTTTTTTAAAAAAATAATAGTAAACATATTTTCAAACAGGTTTTTAAATATTTTTTTAAAACAAAAAATTAGTCTCAAAACAGGTAATAAAAAAGTCACAAATCGTAACATTTCTCCTTTATGTTATTAATTTTTATAACTCTAGATTAATTTAAACAAGTATTAAATCAGTCTGTTTCTTTTTTTTGGTCAAAAATATTAAATCAAAATTTATATAAATTTTAAATTTTTGGTTTAGAAAAAATTAATATTTTATTAATAATTTTGACTTTTAGAGTTTAGCATTAACATATCAAATTCAAACAAAGTAAATTATTGGAACCTAATAAAAAATTTGGAAAAATATAAGGATGTAGGAATTAAATTTTCCAAATTATTTTCTGGTGACTTTTGGCATCTTAAAAAATTAAAAATTTGTCACTATCTTAATTTTTGGATTATATTTTCATTGGTTTCACTAAGTCATGCATAAATTAGGCAAAGATTTTTTTTTTTTTGGGGTTAAAAAATATGGCCTCACATGTGGCGACCATTACCTTCACATGTTTAATATTGATGCTTCTTACAGAAATAAAATTTTTTTAAACTTCTTTGTCTTTTAATAAAAAAATTACAAATGGGTCCTATACAAGAAATTTATTCACAATTAAGTCTTGCGGATTTTTGAAAACACTCTCAAGCCCCATGGGACTTGTTTGTAATTAACTTATCATGTAAAGTGACACAGATGCACTTGGATCACACTCCCTTGGTCAACAGCCATTGATAGGTCACAAGCATCACATTTTTTATTAAATTTAAAATAAATTCACATTTTAAATTATTTTTTTAAAATATTTTTATTAAAGTATTCATATTTTATTAAATCAAACATCACATATTTACAAGCAAATCTTTAAGATTCATAGTTCAAATTTTTATATTTACTAGTCAACTACTTATAATATTAATAAGTTAATACATAATAGTCAACTTCATAGATTTACAGTTAAACTTCAGACTTATAATTTAGACATCTTAAATTTATTTGCAAATTTATAAAAAATACTTTAACCTTAACAAGTCAATATTATAAATTTAAAATCAACATGGCAGATTTAAAGGTGAATTTACATAATTTTTGCAATGGTTCTTGAAATTTATAAATTGATTCACAAGTCAAATTTTAAATTTATAAGTCAAACCTAAAAACTTATAACTTAATAAGGTAAAATGCTTAGTTTATTTGTATGATTTGAAAATTTTGTAAATCAATTTGTAAAATTTGAAGAACCAATGCAAAATTTATATAACTTCAATTGTAAATATATGAGGTTGACTTACAAATATACGAGATTGAATGAAAAATATTAAATTTTTAATTTTTTTCAAGACATACTTTTAAATTTAAGAAGTCTGACTTGTAAATCTGCAAAATTTAATTTGTAAATATTGGTATTTTCATATTGCAAGAGGTTTACTTGTAAATGTAATAAATTTTACTTATACATCTTGAACATTTACTTGTTATTCTATGAGGTTTGACTTGCAAAAAATAACGTATTAAAATGTTAATAAAAATATTTGTCAAAGATATTTTTGACCGGCCAACGTCAATTGGTGACTAGTCAACATTTGCTGGTGGTCTGTCAACAATGATCAATGCTAGTAAAAGGGTGTGAATCAAAGAGCATTTGTGTTTACATAGTAAATTAAATGTAATCAAGTGCCATGGAACTTGAGAGTATTTTTACGAATTGTGGGACCAACTTATAAATAATTTTGTTATATGGGACTCATTTGAAAGTTTTCCTTTTTAAATTCTTTTAAAGTTCATTTACAAAAAAATAATTTTTGTACTAGATATTACTTAGTATCATTGGGCATTGAGTTCATAAGAATTTACATAAGTTATGCTCTCTTCATATGTTTCATTGAATGGCTAAATTTGTTAAGCATCAACAGTAGGTATGCTCGTAAATGTTTCTCATTTATTATCCATTTTTTTATGTCATGTTTAACATAAAAAGTTACCTCTCACTACCATGGAGATATGCACCTTTGTTTTGTCAAAGATTGTGAAGAACTTCATCAATGAGTCGATTCACCAAGCAAATTATCCATTTCGATTCAAAAGATATGTGAAGATCTTGTCAAAGGAAAAGAGAATCTTCTAGCATAGAGAGAAAGCATACATGATCATGTCACAATAGCCAAACAAGATGCCCAAAAGATTGATATTCTTGTTACAAAGTGGTTGGATGAGGCAAATGCTCTTATAGTTGATGCAGTGTTGTTGGAAGAGAAGGCCAAGGCAAACAAGAGTTGGTGTTTTGGGCATTGTCCCAATTGGATTTGGAGATGTCATCTAGCCAAGCAGATAGAAAATAAGACAAAGGAAATAGCTGATTAAGGAAACAAATGCAGTTTTGAGCAATTTGCACGCCCTGCTGCCCCACTAGACATAGCTTATTATTCTTCAGAAGGGTTTTTCTAGTTTGATAGCACCAAATCAGTATATGGTGTACTTTTAGAGGCATTGAAAGATGATGATGTTTCAATGATTGGATGATTGTATGGAATGGGTGGTAGTGGCAAAACCACCTTAGCAAAACAAGTCGGTAAAGCGATAAAGGATCTTTTCAATAGAGTTGTCTTTGTTGTTATATCTAATTCTGTTGATGTTTCGAGGATTCAAGATTCTCTTGCATGTGAACTAGGTGTCACTCTTGAAGGACATGATAACCAAGCAAAAGCCAAAAGCTTGTCATCGAAGCTAGACAATGCAGGAAATATTTTAATAATTTTGGATGATGTGTGGGAGAAGCTTGATTTTGAAACCATAAGAATTCCCTTTGGTTCCAATTTTAGAAGATGCAAAGTTTTAATAACTACACGGCATGAAGATATATATGCATTAATGGATTGCCAAGGGTCTGTTAACCTACATCTGTTGAATGAAGAAAAGGCATGGAGATTGTTCCAATATCATGCCAAGATTACTAATCTAACCTCTGAAAGCATGAAGGATTTAGCAAAACAAATCGCATATGAGTGCAAAGGATTGGCTATTGCAATAGCAACAGTCACTTGCACTTTGAAGGATAAAGATATTGCTGAATGGGAAGAAGCTTTAGAAACAATAAGAGATTCTGATTGGATGAATATTGCAGAAGGTCTTTGAGATCCTTACCTGAATCATTTTTCTCCATGATTAATTTCCATTGTATATATCAAGAAATTAAATTAATTTGTTACTTAGGAAGCTGGAATATCTTTTCAAGTCTTTCCAGTCATATTATAAATTTATAATAAGATGTATATTATTTGCAATATTAATTATTTTCAATAATATATTTGAATCCAATGACATATTAAAATAAAACGTCAATTTTTTTTTGTGTGGTTATTTACTTAGTTAGAAAGTTTATCTTGACTGCATGTCTTGCAAATTTATTTTTCTTTTTAAAAAGATTAACATTAACGTTACACCCAAAAAAAAAGATTAATACTAACTGTTTATGTGGACATTCATATCCATCAATTGTTTTGGTAAATTATAGGTAATTAATGTATTTTGATATTAACTTTATTATATAAATACAAATGCTAGTTTTCTTTGTTTAGTTCTCACACACACCCACATATTAGGACTTATTCTTTTGGAGGATTGAGAGGAAAATAATGGTTTTGCAATATACATGTGAATTTCATTTTATTTTAAGTTCAGGTAAAAAAAAACAATAAAGTAGAGAAAATCATTGTCTTATTTGGTTAATGTTATAGGTTTAAATTTCAGGTTCAGGTAATAAATGAACAAATGCAACTTGAATAATATGATTTTTTTTCTTACTTTTTACAAAGCATTCTCTTCATGATCATTTATACTTTTTTGACAAGAATTGAGATCACTTTCGCTAGTCACTCGAAGCACCCAAATGAGTTATAAAGCTACTCTTTTGAAAACTCTTGAAGATTTTATGGTTGTAGATTTTCAAGAGATAGAATATTTGTTTCAACTACAAGGACTTGCCCTCCATGAAAATCCAACACCATTGGCATCAATCTTGACAAAATTGGAATTGCATAATCTTCCTAAGTTGAGATATATATGGAATCAGGGTCCTATGCAATATATCAATGTCCAAAGGCTTGGGAAGCTATATATCAATGGATGTAATGAATTAAAAAATATTTTCACAAGAAGTATTGTGAGAAGCCTACCATGTGTAAAGTGTGATGAGTTAGAGCAAATTATTGAGGAAGGGGAATCTTATTACCATTTGAAAAGTACTTCAAATTCTTTTGCTCTTCCTCTACATAGCCCCCAAAACATAGGTAAATATAATCACCTCTTATATTTTCTTCTTGGTTTTTTTAGTTTTTGGCTCATTAATTTTAAATATTATGTTATGAAAAATACTTTAAAAGACTAGAAATAAAATTAAATATAGCGTCATAAGAAAATCTAAGAGACGTAAATAATGAGATGAAGCAAAATAGGTGTGACCTTAAGTTTTGAAAGTGGTTAAGTTTTGATATTTCTTATCTTTGGATGAATATAGTTTCAGCAAGGACATCAAATTTGTGCCGTCTTTCTAGGTTGTTTGTAAGAGACTGTCTAACGTTAAAATGGTTGTTCACACTACCCACGGCTCAAACCTTAACATCATTGCGAGAGTTAACAATTGAGACATGTGAAGGGTTGCAATATATTATGAAAGATGAGACAACTAAAGGCAATCAGAAGAGCACTGAAGAAGTAATCAATGGTCATGATAGGCAGGACATGCTTCCACATCTCTCATACTTATTTTTGAAAGATCTACCAAATCTCATTGAATTATACAAAGGGTTGTAGTTCCAATATGTGAGCTATCATAAAGTAGTGAATTGTCCAAAGCTAATTCCACAACCATCAATAATAGATGCGCATTGTCCTTCATTCTTATGAATTCCCTTTTGCTAATTCCAATAATTATATATGATTATTGATGGAACAAACAAGATAAACAACTCAGACTAAGTATTACACTCACATACTTTTGTAAAGCTTTAAGCCTTCAATTTCTTACAATCTCAAATCATGTATGCATTTACTAATTTCAATCATGACCTTTCTAAGCTAAATGCATGGATACAACAACCAAAGATAAAAATCAGCAAGTCCCCACGGACTTTGAGAAGGACAAAACAATTGAAGAAGGAGAAAACAAATTAGTTCCATATGAGCTCAACAAGGCAGAAAAAAAAAAACTATTTTAGAATCAAAGTATCCTTTCCAAGAAACTTCTTATTTCAACACTAAAGCTGGTCCTTTAGGTGATACTTGTGACTCCTATGTCTGATTATGGGCTACTTCTCCTTCATTATACTATCTTCTGTGATTCTTTTTTTTTATTTCAATTTGTATAACATAGGAAACGTTGCAATTTCAGGTATGCCATTGAGACCATCCTTAAGTGAATCCTCTATTCAAGCTATGCCACTTGAAAAGCTAACCCGTAACTTCCTCTGTTTTATGGAGAATAATGTGGTGCTTTTGCATATGGATACTAATGGCTATGCTATTTTTTTCCTCACACAAATTTGTGAATTTGATATAGGCATAATAGTTTTAAGCAACTGATTTGTTAATAAAAGGCATATTGTTCATTAGGAACAACAAATCACCAGGCGTGCCAGAGACACTGAGTCTCAATCGATAACAAAGGGTTCCCTAGCTCCCTTATCACAATTTACCCGGATGTAAAAGCTACGCAAGACTTGATAAAACAAGTGTTTGATTACTACTAAAAGGTTACAAAATGAAAATGGTTACAAGTCTGGAATGAAAAAAAAAAACTGATAAACCTAAGAATTATGGGTGCGAAGTGCAATCCATTCCAGTGATGTCCACTTCTTATGTGATTTGGTGCTTTATTTATAGTGATTTCTTTAGAATCTAGAATGTTCTTACGAATAATCAAGGATTCTGTGAAATTCATGGTATGGTCTTTAATAACTGTTTTCATTTTTAGTAACTAGCTTGTTTCACTGAGATACTTGGGCATGATGATTCTGTTCCTATGGGATACAGGATCATTTGAGATTGTGCCTTTATGAACTCATGGTCTACAAAGTGGGTTTGCAACTGGTGATATTTTGGCATGTTCATTTGGCTTAGGCTTTCCATTGAGATCAAGGCTGGCCTTTTTGTTTAGATCGTTGATTGGGCTTAGCTCTTAAGTTACCTAGCCCATATGGCTTTATAGCCTACTTAAATGCTTTGGCAAATGGCGTTTTATATTTAGCCCAAACAATACCCTCCATGTGCTAGTGGCTGATAACTGTAAGCCACGTGGCATATCTAAAAAAGACTGAAACGTCCTTCATCTCTAAGTACCTTTTTCTCAATATAAATTCTTATTTTCTTTTCCTATTCGTTCTGACATTTTTGGGGAGATGGCAAAGAACTTATGATTTCCTCCAGCTGTCTATCCATGTGGTCTTGAATTCCTCGCCGTTGGATATAATTAACGAATATACCAGTTCACTTCCTAGTTTTAGCCTAAGGCTTGTCTTGTTACTACTTGTTGACATTGGCACTATGTGCTTATGACGTTCAGTCATCTCAACTTCAGACATCAATGGTTTTAACCTTATGAGTGTAGAGTTTCCTTCTAGTTCGTGAGAACTAGCACCTGTTTCATCAATCCTTGTGTCCTTTCTTGTCCTTGCTATCTTGTTACATAGGTCTCACCGGGCATGCCAAAAATTGTTTGTCAAGAACAACAAATTACCAAGTATGCTAGAGATGCTGAGTCTCACTTGATAACAAAGGGTTCCCAAGCTCTCATACCACAATTTACCCAAATATAAAAGATACGCAAAACTTGGTAGAACAAGTGTTTGATTACTACTAAAAGGTTACAAAATGTAAATGGTTATAAGTCTGGACTGAAAAATAACTAATGATAAACCTAAGAATTATGGGTGCAAAGTGCGAGGCTTTCAAGTGACGTCCCCTTCTTTTGCGATTTGATGCTATATTTACAGTGACAGAGTGATGGTGGTTTCTTCCTTAGAATCTAGAATGTTCTTGTGAATAATCAGGGATTTCATGAAATTCATGACATGGTCTTTAATCACTGTTTTCCATTTCTGGTAACCAATTCATTTTGTTGAGATACATGGGCATGATGATTCTGTTCCCACAGGATCCGAGATCGTTTGAGATTGTGCCTTTATGAACCGACGGTCTACAGAGTGGGCTTGCAACTGGCGGGATTTTGGCATGCTCATCTAGCCAAGACTTTCCATTGAGATCGGGGCTAGCCCTTTTGTTTAAATCATTGATTGGGCCTAACTCTTCAGTTACTTAGCCCATATGACTTTATGGCTTACTCAAAAGCTTTGACAAACGACGTTTTATATTTAGCTGAAATACATACATAATACATCCAAATTGAGTAGGCTATGGAATTATAATGCTGTATGATATTGTTTCTGTGTATTGATCAGTTAATGATATATCGTTTCAAACAGTTGAATGAGATTGAATAATAGATACTGAATAATAGTTATGGATATGAGTCTCTTGAATCTTACTTCATGTTCGATTGTTGGGAACTGCACTTCAATTTCTCTCCTTTTGCTGGTTAGTTTTATTCATTGATATTTTATAAAAACAAAGGAACGAATCTCGAAAAGCAGCTCATCAACGAGAAGTAAAGAATATATGGACATGCAGGAGAGATTGATGGAACTTGCGTTATCTTTCAAAGTCAAAATGAATGAAAACTTACTTTTGTTTAGTTATTTGTGTTCTGTATATATACAGTTCTCAACTGTTTTCCATGTTTTTATTCTTTACCAATTGGTTAATTCTTCCAAAATTAAATTAGACTCAGAGACATTCACTCTTCAGTTAAATTATAAGTGTTCCTTCGTGCTCCCCAAGTGTGCTGTAGAGTGGACAAAAAGTTAATTATTGTAGCAGCTCTAATTTTTAGAAATATGAAGTTATATATACTTAAAAGAGATGCTTCGTATCTACACGATCCTTTTTTAATTTACTTATTATACATATGTATAGTTAAGTAATATTATATTCCTTATAGGTGAGGATAATCTAAGTCTTTTTACCCCTAATTTACAGTTTAACCTCCGTTATTAACTTATTTTGTAGAGAGCTATCTTTTGCGATTCTTTTAATTC